TCATTGTTGTTTGGCGGGTCCGGGCTGGGGATTCAAACCCGCCACCTTAGGTGTACGTGGCTGGCGCCTTAGCTGGTTGAGCTATAGGCGCCGAGCCTGTATTAGTACTTTTAATGTGAATTGAGAATGATAACCAAACTGGTTGGGCTTACAATTAAAATTAGTGAAAAATTTGAAAAGATGCTGAGCACTGACTTTATGACATTTGTCATTCCCTTTTGTGTTTGCTGGCTATTGGCCATCATTAGGATAATTAAGGTTCAGGAAAAGCCAAATTCTAAATAAGTGACTTGAAGAAGTGGTAACAGCACAGACTTTGAAACCTCTGCCCGAGTTTGAATCCTTGCTCTGCCATTTACTAGTTGGATGATCCTTCCTTACTTATTGCTTAATATCTCTGTGCTCTCCTCCTCTATAGTGTAAGGAAAATAACGTGACTTAGAATTATGAGTACTTAGAGTGCTTCCTTGGCAGGTAGTGCTCTAGAAATGCTGGCCATTGCCTTTCCTCAGATGCTTTGCTGAACCTCATAATAAGGGGTGGGAGGGCACTCAGAGTAGAGGAAGAAGTGCTGATGGATGGATTGTGTGTCTCTGGTTATCCCATTTCTCAGAGCTCCCCTAACGTGTATACTTGGTTTCTGAACTAGTTTCAGATTGATCCTGAAAACTTGGGGGGTAGTGGGGAAAAGGTTTGGTTGTAGTTCCCTTTTATGGTTTTATGAAATATCTTGGTAGAACTGCAGTTCACTCATCCTCTAACCAAAACATTGAACTCTGGGTCTGAAATCATAGAATTTTGATACTGCTGAACTTTGGTTATTATAGCTTTGGTTAGAACTTGATGAGAAAGAGATGGCTGGGGGATAATTTGGGGTGGTAGTTGGGAAGGAAAAATAGATATTCTTAGGTGGGGTCATTGTACAGTTTTTTTGGTCCCTGTAGAATTTGATCCATCTTATGATGTAAGTGATTTTTAACTTTGGACTGAACAGTTTTTTCCTTCCATTAAATTATATTAGAAAGACAAAAGTTAATACTTCTTGTAGCTATATGGTTTTACCTGGACAGGGTTTGATTTCAAGTGTTTATTTTTCATAATATAAAGCTGTTTTGTATATAGTGAAATTTTAATCAAAATTTGGGTGTCTCTGTTTCTTTCTTTCTTTTTTTTTTTTTTTTTTTGAGATAGACTCTCATTATGTCACCATTGGTAGAGTGCTGAGGTGTCACAGCTCACAGCAACCTCAAACTCCTGGGCTTAAGCATTTCTATTGCCTTAGCCTCCCACTGGCTGGGACTACAGGTGCCTGCCACAAAGCCTGGCTATTTTTATTGTGGTTGTCATTGTTGTTTAGCGGGCTTGGGCTGGGTTCAAACCTGCCAGCCTTGGTATATATAACCACTGTGCTGTGGTCGCCAAGCTGGGTGTCTCTCTTTCTGTAATATGATATTAAGTATTCACCATAGTTTGTGAATCCCAAACTGAGGCATACAGCCTGACAGCAGTACAGAACATTTGTGTTGGGACTATTGCCAAAAAATCGAGTGTGAGGTCACCATATTAGGTAGCTCTTGATGTGAGGAACAGCAGGGGCTTTTTCCTTGTTTAAATTTGTTTAAATTAAGGATAACACACAGAGGAGTACACAAATGGTAACAGCTTAGGGCACGCAAGGTGGGTACATGCCTGTAGTCCTAACTACTTGGGAGGCCAAAATGGGAAGATTATTTGAACCCAGGAATCTGAGAGAAGCCTTGGCAACATAGTGAGACCCAGTCTCTTAAAAAATAAATAAATAAAATAAATTACTTTAAAAAAAAGTACAGGTGGCTCATGCCTGTAATCCTAGCACTCTGGGAGCCTGAGGTGGGTAGATTGCCTGAGCTCATGGGTTCGAGACCAGTTTGAGCCTGAGTAAGACCCCCTCTCTAAATAGTGTGGTGGGCACCTGTAGTCCCAGCTACTAGGGAGGCTGAGGCAAGAGAATCGCTTAAGCCCAAGAGTTTGAGGTTGTTGTGAGCTATGAGGCCACGGCACTCTATAGAGGGTGACAAAGTGAGACCCTATCTCAAAAAAAAAAACACAGAAAAAAAAACAACAGAGTATAGCTCAATGAATAGTCAAAATGTGAATACATACGTAAATAACATTTAGGTCAAGTAACAGAAAATTTACCTGCATCCTATAAGCCTCTCTAATGTGTTCTTCAGGTATTAACTCTCCATCCCCATTCCTACTAAACATAGCCACTGTCCTGAATTGCGCATCAAGGTTAGTTTTGCTTGTTTTTGAGCTGCTATGAGTAGACCCATACAGTGTATACCAGTGTGGTTTTTTTTTGTTGTTGTTGTTTGTTTGTTTTTTGAGACAGAGTCTCAAGCTGGGTAGAGTGCTGTGGCGTCACAGCTCATAGCAACCTCGAACTCTTGGGCATAAGTGATTCTCTTGCCTCAGCCTTCCAAGTAGCTGGGACTACAGGCACACGCCACAATGCCCACCGATTTTTTTTGTTGCAGTTGTCATCGTTGTTTAGCTGGCCCAGGCTGGATTCAAACCCACTAGCCTTGGTGCATGTGGCTAGCGCCCTACCCACTGAGCTAAGGGCGCTACCTATGTTAGTGTTTTTCAACTGTTTTTATCTCACAACATACTTGAACCTATAGTTAAACTTTTGTGATCCCCAGAAAAAGAGTAAAAAAATACATACTTACCATGCTTTGAACTTCTTTTGAAAATAATTGATGATCTTTAAAAATTTTTGTGGCACACCTAAGATCCTCTCGCTGTATACTGGTTGAAAATCACTGGTGTGGGCTCCGTGCCTGTAGCTCAGTGGCTATGGAGTCAGCCACATACACTGGGCTTTTGGGTTTAAATCTGACCCGGGCCTGCTAAAAACAACAATGACGACTACAACCAAAAAAAATAGCTGGGCGTTGTGGTGGATACCTGTAGTCCCAGCTACTTGGGAGGCTGAGGCAAGAGAATCGCTTGAGCCCAAGAGTTTGAGGTTGCTGTGAGCTGTGATGCCATGGGACTCTAGTAAGGTCGACACAGTGAGACTGTCTCAGAACAACAAACAAAAAAACAGAAAATCACTTTGAGTCTGTCTTCTTTTGTTTAATGTTTGAGAAATTGATCCATATTGTTCCAGAGAGTTGTAATTAATTCATTCTTGTTGTTGCGTAGCATTACTTTGTGATTTCTCTTCTGGTGTAATCCATACTATGCATTTGGCTAGTTTCTAGTTTGGGGAGCTATTATGAATAGTGCTTCTATAAACTTTCTTAAAAGGCCAGGGGTGGTGGTGCACATCTGTGATCCTAGCACTCAGGGAGGCCAACTCGGGTGGATTGCCTGAGCTCACAGGCTTGGGACCAGCCTGAGCAAGAGCAAGACCCTGTCTCTAAAAATAGCCAGGTGTCGTGGCAGGTACTTGAGCCTAAAAGTTTGAGGTTGCTGTGACACCATGGCACTCTACTGAGAGTGACAAAGAAAAAAACCCCATTTTTATACATATCTTTTGATGAACCTATGCTTGCATTTTTTGTTGTTTGCATTATGTACCTAGTAGTGAATTGCTATTATCACAGGGTATGTATATATTAAGCTTTGTCTCTAATCCTCTCCAATATTTTAGCCATTCTGGAAAGTTTGTAGTAGTAAACACATTGTGGTTTTAAATTACATTTCCTTAATGACTAATGAAGTTGAACACCTTTTTTTGTTCTGTTTAGCCATTTGACTTTACTCTTGTGAAATGCTTGTTTGTCTTCCCTATTTTTCAATGGAATATAAGTAGAACATCTGTATGTCCCTTTAATTCACATATTATTCAGTAGGAGTTGCTCTCTGGTAGTAGAAAATATAGTAGAAGGAAAAAGGTGGAAACAAAGTCACTATTATGGCTGTGACTTGAGGGTTGCTGGGCTCTCTAACTCCAAGCTACTAATTTCTTACCAAATTATGCAGGTGCACTGATCTTAGCCCTTTGTTTCAGACACAGATTGTCTCAATGCTACCTTCTTATTCTATCATATACACAAACCCTTATCTTTCTTAGCAGCTGAATTTTGTTCCTAGAAAATTGATTCATTAGGAATAATACCTGTCTTGCAAGGTGGTACTCTTTAGGGTCACTATCTCCCATATGACATAACTCAGAATAAATCGTATGATATTAGATAGATTGGGTTGAGGAATAGACCTTATAGGGGAAAGAGAGAACTTAGAGGACCAAGGTTAGCTGGAGAAGAAAATGTTCTTCTATCTGTCATCATCTTTCAGAGAGGCAAACCTGGGGTCTGTGTTCGCAGGGATCTCATCCATCTGTGAGTCTTCCTTCTTACAGGGCAAGATGGGAAGACAACATTGTTGGGGTGAGGAGGGTGACAAGCAGTCTACTCAGTGCCAGGTGGCCTGGAGTTGGATTCAGGATGCCAGTTGTATGAGAAAACCTGCTGCCTACCACCTGGAGACCCTGGACCCATGGGAAGTTTTTACTCATCTCCCATGAGGACGCCAATGATCTCATGGGGAGCTGAATTTGGGTGTGCTCCCTCTTGCTGTCTTGTCCAGGAGTGAGCTATAGGGTTGTTTGGGACAGTTGCATTCATTACACATTATGTAATGATGTGTAATCATTACACATACACACGTAATGTTATCTGTAGAGATTCTGTTTCTGTAGAAAACAGAGATTCTGTAGAGAAACAGAATCAGAATCTCTACAGAAGATTGTGTGAAGAATTCTGTTGTCTGTAGAGTTCCCTGAAGAGAGAACCTCAGCTCTGCAACTATAAGTCTTAACATAGAACAGATTTTTCTCTGACCTGTGTGAATTCTTGAAATTTGAAATTCCATGAATAAGCATTTAGATAGCATAGATTTATTTTTTAAAAGAATAAACATTTTAAGGCTAACACTGTGGCCCATGCTTGTAATCTGGCACTTTGGAAGGCCAAAGTGGAAGGATTGCTTAAGGCCTTACGTTTGAGACCAGCCTAAACAAGAACAAGACCCCATCTCTTTGAAAAAATAGAAAATTTAGGTGGGTGTAGTAGTGTGTATCTATAGTCTCAGCTACTCAGGAGGCTGAAGCAGGAGATCTGTTGAGCCTAAGGTTGCAGTGGGCTATGATGAGGCCACTGAACTCTAGCTTAGGTCCACAGAGTGAGACCTTGTCTCAAAAAATGAATGAATGAGTGAATACTCTAGGGATTAAAATTTCCTTTCATCATACAGGTAATTTGCTGTAGAATCTCCAAAGATATATTTATTTTAGGTACTGAAAATGAGAGAGGCTAAATGTTTTATATAGTAGTTTTTAGGTAAATATGGTATTTGGATAGATGATATTTGTTTAAAATAAATCATTTTTAAGTTTTTGATCATATAACTATTAGTAGTTTTATTAATGGTAAGAATTATACACATGAACAAATGAAATTGCATGTACTCATGTTAATCATGCTCCTGTAAAGCTAAAATGGTTCAGTTTGCTATGTTAAAAGTTAATGATTAAATTTTTTAGGGGAAGATACTGTACAAATCTGTTTAATAAATCACATTTGAACTTTTTCTTTTGGAAATATTAGCAAGAAGGCTCCCTTTGTGCTCAGCATTGCCTGAATAATCTGTTGCAAGGAGAGTATTTTAGCCCCGTAGAGTTATCTTCAATTGCACACCAGCTAGATGAAGAAGAGAGAATGAGAATGGCAGAAGGAGGCATCACTAGTGAAGACTATCGCACATTTTTACAGGTACTGTTTTTAAACACACTAAGTCACATTTAAAAAAAAAAAACATGGATACTGGGCAGTGCCTATGGCTCAGTGAGTAGGGCACTGGCCCCCTATACCAAGGGTGGCGGGTTCGAATCCGGCTCTGGCCAAACTGCAACAAAAAATAGCCAGGTGTTGTGGTGGGCGCCTGTATGTAGTCCCAGCTACTCAGGAGGCTGAGGCAAGAGAATCACCTAAGCCCAAGTGTTGGAGGTGCTGTGAGCTGTGATGCCATGGCATTCTACCAAGGGTGACAAAGTGAGACTCTGTCTCTAAAAAATAAAAAATAAGAAAACATGGATACTGTTAAAGAACATTCTTTCTATAAGGATTGTCTGGTTAATCGTCTGGTTAATTAACAACTCTATTCTTGACTTTGTAAATGGGAATACACAAGATGATATTTTAAACATGCACACTAATGACATTTTTGTCCTTTCCCTACCCCCACTCCGCTTCAACTACCTATCAAAATGAACAGCAGCCTTCTGGAAATATGGATGACAGTGGGTTTTTCTCTATTCAGGTGAGTAGTAACCAGAATGTATTAAGCATTGTTTATGTAGTCACTGTAACGATGTGACCTTCAGAAGTTCTTCCAGTAGATTGTGTATACAAAATATAAGACTAGATTCTAGAGTTTTGGCTCAACTCCTTGGCAGTGGACTGGTACCAGTCCATGGCCTGTTAGAAACCATGCTGCACAGTATCACCACCTGAGCTCTGCCTCCTGTCCATCATGCCCTCCCTGCCCTCCACTCCCAGTTTGTGGAAGAATCATCTTCCATGAACTAGTCCCTGGTGCCAAAAAAGTTCTGGTTATGGACTGTTAGAAACTGGGCCACACAGCAGGAGGTGAGTATAGGCTCGTGAGCTAAGTTGCATCTGTGTTTACTGCTGTTGCCCCTCTGAGCTCTGCCTCCTGTCCCACCTCCTCACTCTCATCCATGAAACCAGTCCCAGGTGCCAAAAAGGCTAGAGACCACTGCTTTTGAGTGCTAAAGTTTTATATAGATAAACATGAAAATCAGGATTGTAGAATCGTCATTTTAGTACAGTGCTCTAACCAACTGAACTATTAACACAGAATCTTCATTATGGAGGAGGGCTTTAAAACTTACATCTGGATGCTAATAACATTAATTCTGATAAGTCACATTGTTTCAAACTTATTGTTTCTTGGGTAAATTTGAGAAAATGCAATACCTTGGTACTTTCTGTTTAGATCAGCCTACCAGGACTAGATTCCTTCCTGTGGTTTGTGGCTTTTTTTTTTTTTTTTATTATAGCTCCCTATCATTGTATATATAAGTACTTGTGAGATTCTTTTTTTAATTATAGCTCCCTATCATTGTATATATAAGTACTTGTGAGATTCTTTTATTGTAGGTATTTCTTGTTCTGTTCCTAATACTGTGAGATATATCCAGAGTTCTCTCAGAACCTCTCCTAAGGAACCTACTTCCGTACATATATTTGTTTATATTTTTCCATGCTGTGCTTCATTGTGCCACTGTTAACGGATAATGGCTACTGCAGGGCTAGGATCAGCAGTCAGAGTTGGCCCAGCTCTCACCATTTCCTGTCTGTGCTGTGCCGTTCTTGGTGCCAGACCACATTTGTCCACTTGGTGCATTCATATTTTGTGTGTGCTAATACCTGGTTCACTTGTTTCTTTGTTGGCTACCTTGAAGGCTAGGCAGTGAATTTTCCAAAATTTCCTTTTTTGTTCCTCATATAGTTTGAAATCAGCTTTGCCTTTTGTTTTTTTCTACAAGTTACAAACCTACAACTAGAGAAATCTAAACACATGAAACTTTCTGTTTAAATACCCAGAGAGAACTTCTTTTATTAGACATAGGTAGTGAGTTGAATATAACTTTCTAAAGGAGCACCCACAGGAGCCAAGTTATTAGACTTATTGTGGAATAGTTTTAAGAATAGCACTTACTCGATAGAATACACATCTGGATTTTTCAGGCGATTTCATCAAGGTGTGTTTCTCTGGAACATCTTAGAAATGTAGTATAAAAAACATTCTTTATATATGTGTACGTTATTTATGGATTTAGTGATATACCTGTACATAAATATTTTTTAGACCATATTCATCTTCATTTATACATTAAGAATGATTGTTTAGATAACTAACATGGCTATACTACTTAAATTTAGAATTGAATGGCTTAGCTCATAAAAAGTTGCTATTTTTTTTTAACAGGTTATAAGCAATGCGTTGAAAGTTTGGGGTTTAGAGCTAATTCTGTTCAACAGTCCAGAATATCAGAGGCTCAGGATCGATCCTATGTAAGAGTTTATTTTGTATTTCCTACATATCTTTTCCTAAACTTGATTTTTAAAGTTATGCTTTCTTAAAGCAGAGAAATACAGTATATTTTAAATGCTTTTGTTTTGATATTCCCTACTTCCTGTTTCATTCCCTCAGACTTTACTATTTCACCTTTTTTTTTCAATGAGGCAGAGTCCCACTTTGTTGCCTGAAGTAGAGTGCAGTGGCATCATCATAGCTCACTGCAACCTCAAACCCCTGGGGCTCAAGTGATCCTCCTGCCTCAGTCTCCTGAGTAGCTGGGACTATAGATGTGCACTACCATGCCTGGCAAAGTTTTTTATTTTTTAATTTTTATACAGATTTTTATTGTCCAGGCTGATCTCAAACTCCTGGCCTCAAGTGATCCTCTGGCCTTGACCTCCCAGTGTGCTAGGATTACAGTTCTTCCCCAAGTTCACCTTTTTGATGTCCATGAGCATATACTCTTTGAGCCTTCCTGACACCCCAGTGCTTTGGCCATAATACTGACCCTTGAGTAGTATGTGAGGCTATTATTTTGGCATGGCATAACTAGGTTATTGTGCAGGGCTCATACAATTGTGTAAGTTTGTAAAAATCAATGAGAACTGTAAATACAAGCTTTGAATTATCACAAATTTTATATAATACTTTCTAGTAAATGAATATGAACTCAATATTTCAACTTAATATTGTGTATTTTTTTCTAGAAATGAAAGATCATTTATATGCAATTATAAAGAACACTGGTTTACAGTTAGAAAATTAGGAAAACAGGTAATATTTCTCCTCCTTCCCTATCTTTTTTCTCATTCTACACTCCATTCAAAACTCAAATGTGAGGGATTGATGCCTTTGAAATAGGAAACTAGTCCCAGCTTCTCGGGAGGCTGAGGCAAGAGAATTGCTTAAGCCTAAGAGTTGGAGGTTGCTGTGAGCTGTGATAGCACGGCACTCTACTGAGGGCGACATAGTGAGACTCTGTCTCAAATAAAAAAAAAAGAAAGAGGAAACTGACCAGTAATGTGGGTGTGGTATGATTTCAATCTTGGTAGATAGGAATTTGCCATCTTAAAAAATAGTATCATTTTCTCTTACATATTTATTTGTGATAACCATATACAATTAAACTGTATCGTAAGAGAAATTCTGCATGAAGATAATGCAAATGTGGTTACTTTTAAATGGGTTTTCACGTGATGGATATGTTCTGTCAGTTAATTATTACATTAACATATTTATATTTAGCATAGTACTGTCAAAAAGCCTGAAACAGGATCAGGCATGAATAAAAACATTCAACTATGTTGGGTTTTGTATAGTAAGGTTATTCACACGATTCTAAATGCCATGTAATAGATAAATCTACATAAAATCACTTCTTAATAGGGCTGTGCCTGTGGCTCAAAGGAGTAGGGTGCTGGCCCCATATGCTGGAGGTTCAAACCCAGCCCGGCCAAAAACTGCAAAAAAAAATCACTTCTTAACAAAGACATGGAATGTGTTCTGAGCAAGCTATTTTAAGAAACAGAATAAGTTAAATTCCATTATATTGGAATTTTGAGTCTTTGAAAGAGGGTTATTGAAAATCAACTAGTAGCTTGGCATCCGTAGCACAGTGGTTATGGCACTTAGCCACATACACCGAAGGTTGCAGGTTCAAACCCAGCCTGGGCCAACTAAACAACAGCTAAACAACTGCAACAAAAAATAGCCAGGTGTTGTGGTGCGTGCCTATGGGCCCAGCTGCTTAGGAGGCTAAAGCAAGAGAATCGCTTAAGCCTGGAATTTGAGGGCTGTGAGCTGTAATGCCACAGTACTCTACTGAGGGCCACACAGTGAGACTCTGTCTCTGAAAAAAAAAGAAAGAGAAAGAAAGAAAATCAACTAGTACAATAAAAAGGAATCAACTATTGGTATAGGTAGCACCATGAATAAATCTCAAAATAATTGTGCTGAAAGGAGAAGCCAGACACAAACTACTACCTACTATGTAGTTCCATTGATACAAAAGTCTAAAAAAATTGAACTAATCCATAATGACAGAAACAGATCCACCAGTAGTTAGTTACATGGATGTGATGGGAGAAGAGGCATAGGAAACCTGGCAGTCAGACATGGGTTATGAAACCATGGTTGTAGTCATGGTTTCATAGGTGTATAGTATACAAATGCTAAAATGTTTCAAATTATATACTTTAAATATTACTTAAGTTTATTGCATGTCAGTTATACCTCAACCAACAAAGGTGTTTTAGGTGAGGAGTGGTGGCTTATACCTATAATCCTAGCACTCTGGGGGGTGAGGCAGGGGTATTGCTGGAGCTTAGGAGTTTGAGATCAGCCTGAGCAAGAGCCTGTCTCTACTAACAGTAGAAAAACTAGCCAAGTGGTGGTACATCCCTGTAGTCCCAGCTACTTGGGAGGTTACAACAGGAGGATTGCTTCAGCCCTAGAGTGTGAGGTTGCTGTGACCTGTGATGACACCATAGCACTCTAGCCTCGGGCAACAGAGGGAGACATTATCTCAAAAAAAAAAAAAAAAAAAAAATATATATATATATATATATTTAAAAAAAAATAGGCCAGGGCGGTGTGGTAGCTCATGCCATAATCCTCACACTCTGGGAGGCTGAGGCGAGTGGATTGCTTGAGCTCAGGAGTTGAAGATCAGTCTGAGCAAGAGTGAGACCCTATCTCTACTAAAAAAAGTAGAAAAACTGGCTGGCATGGTGGTGCATGCCTGTAATCCCAGCTACTTGGGAGGCTGAGGCAAGAAGATTGCTCAGACCTAAGAGTCTGAGGTTGCTATGAGCTATAATGCCATGACACACTACCCACAGCAACAGAGTAAGACTCTGTCTAAATAAATAAATAAATAGGCACACATGGTAGCTCATGCCTATAATCCTAGCACTCTGAGAGACTAAGGCAGGAGGACTGCTTGAGCTCAGGAGCTGGAGACCAGTCTGAGCAAGAGTGAGACTCTATCTCTACTTAAAGTAGAAAAACTAGCCGGGCATAGTAGCTCGTGCCTATGGTCCAGCTACTTGGGACATTGAGGCAAGAGGATCACTGAAGCCCAAGAGTATGAGATTGCTGTTAACTATGATGATGCTAGGGCAACAGAGTGAGACTCAGTCTCAAAAAAAAAAAAAAAAAAAAAATAGGACCAGGCACACTCAGCTTGTAATCCAAGGACTCTGGGAGGCCAAGGCGGGTGGATTGTTTGAGCTAAGAAGTTTGAGACCTGCCTGAGCAAGAGCAAGATGCTGGGCTCAGTGTCCATAGCACAGTGGTTATGGTGCTGGCCACATACACCAAGGCTGGTGGGTTCTAGTCTGGCCTAGGCCTGCTGAGCAACAATGACGATGGCAACAAAAAAATAGCTGGGTGTTGTGGCGGGCACCTGTAGTCCCAGCTACTTGGGAGGCTGAGGCCAGAGGATTACTTGAGTCCAAGAGTTTGAGGTTGCTGTCAGCTGTGATGCCACAGCACTCTACCCAGGGCAACTTAGTGAGACTTTGTCTCAAAAAAAAAAAAAAAAAAAGAGCAAGATGCTGTCTCTAAACATAGCTGGTGTTGTGGTGGGCACCTGTAATCCCAGCTACTTGGGAGGCTGAGGCCAGAGGATTACTTGAGTCCAAGAGTTTGAGGTTGTTGTGAGCTATGCCATGGCACTCTACCCAGGGCAACTTAGTGAGACTCTGTCTCAAAAAAAAAAATTAAAAATAAATACAAATAAATAAGTAAAATTTAAAATGGTAAATAAAAAGAAAATAAAGTTAAGCAAGAGTGCGTTGAGTTAAATCAATAAAAGATAACTCAAGAACAAAACCTTGCTATTCAAGTCAGCCATCTAGAAATAGCTTTTTCCTAAATGATTATTTCTTAAAGTTCTTCCTGAGGAGCCAAGAACAAGTAAGGAACTGGGATGTGCAGGCTTACAGTAGAGACTGACCCAAGTGGGCATCAGCTCTTGGGAAAGACAAGGGTGGAATGCTGCAAAGATTATTTAGCCTCTGAGTTTTATTTGTAACTTTAAGAAATTATGATCTAGGTTGGGTGTGGTGGTTCACTCCTGGAATCCTAGCACTCTGGGAGGCTGAGATGGGTGGATTACTTGAGCTCATGAGTTCAAGATCAGCCTGAGCAAGAGTGAAACCCCATTTCTAAAAAAAAAATAGCCGGGTTTCATAGTGGACACCTGTAGTCCTAGCTATTTGGGGGGCTGAGGCAAGAGGATCACTTGAGCCCCAAGAGTTTGAGGTTGCTGTGAGCTATGATGCCACAGCACTCTGCCAAGGGTATGAAAGTTGAGATTCTGTCTCAAAAAAATTTTTTTTAAATAAAAAAAAATTATAATATAGTACTCTTTACTTTCTGTATAAAGTAAGCACTGGATTTTTAAGGTCTAAGACTTAGAGTCTGAAAGTTCTTATTTTTTTTTTGGCGATAGAGCCTCATTATGTCGCCCTGGTAGAGTGCTGTGGTGTCACAGCTCACAGCAACCTCAAACTCTTGGGCTAAAGCGATTCTCTTGCCTCAGCCTCCCAAGTAGCTGGAACTACAGGCGCCTGCCACAACTCCTGGCTGTTTTTTTGTTGCAATTATCATTGTTGTTTAGCAGGTCTGGGCCAGGCTCCAACCTGCCAGCCTCAGTGTATGTGGCTTGTGCCCTAACTGCTGAGCTATGGGTACCAAGCCCTCCAGAAGTTCTTTTGCTTTGATTTACAAAGGAGTGTCTCTTTTATTATATTGAGAGGTTTTTACATTTTTAGTTTTTCAAAATTGAATTTTCTCATTCAGAACTATTTTATCTTTGACAAATACTGATGTCAAATTTTGGTTTATTATCTTTGGTTCGGTATTTGTATTTTTGCTTAAAATTACATTTTTCAGTATAGACTCTGTCTGAGATCCCTATATAATGAAAGAAGTGACTGAATAAAGTATTATCAGCAATGTCAAAATCCAAAAATTGAATAGTGGTCACAATACTGACAGTTGAAACTTTTTGTATCTTGCAGGTTAAATTAGGATTCCCATGTGGTAGTGATAAAAGATGCTAATTATATGGGATGGTAGTTTAGAAACTTTTAAAAAACATGTTGTTGATTATAAATTCTCTTCCTGGAATGTCTGATTTTCTCACAATTGGAGTTTTTGATCAAAATTATCATTAATGGGAAAACTTTATGTACTTGCCATTTTCTTCAACATCAATATAATAGATGTAATTGGAGTTGTTGGACTTTGAAAGAGATTTAATTATAGCTATTAATAAAGATACCTCAGGGCAGTGCCTGTGGCTCAGTGGGTAGGGTGCCGGCCCTAGATACTGAGGGTGGCGGGTTCGAAGTCGGCCCTGGCCAAACCGCAGCAACAATAACAACAAAAAAATAGCTGAGCATTGTGGTGGGCACCTGAATGCTACAGCACTCTACTGAGGGGGATAAAGTGAGACTCTATCTCTTAAAAAAAAAAAAAAAACCTCAAAATTAATATTGACTATTAGATTCTATTTTGGGGAGATTTAAAGTATATGGCTTTTTTTTTTTTTTTTTCAGTTTTTTGGCCAGGGCCGAGTTTGAACCCACCACCTCTGGTATATGGGGCTGGTACCCTACTCCTTGAGTAACAGGCACCACCTTTAAAGTATGGTT